CTGGCTTGTTCCGGTTTAGAAGTCGTGACTCCATAAAAACTAAACTATCCTCGGGACAGGAACCACGAGTTTAACATATGTTCACTCACTCGGGGAATGGCGGCTCATCTCACTTGAACCATTCCTTAACTTAGTGTTATTATCACTGATTACTTCAGAGCCCACCATACGGCTTAACATCTCATAAATTGTACACATGTTAGAGGAGACTGATGAGTGATGATTAAATCATGGGTATTTTCCCCTGATCATTCTCCATGTCGTCGCACCATTTCCAAGCTTGGTGTCCCTCATTATTTACTAATTTTTCCACCTGGTTATAGTGGTCCCACAAATTACGTTCCTTCCCTCTTCATTAGGAACAGTTACGACACTTCCTATTATGAAGTGGGACCACTAACCACGTTTCGACCATCAGAACCACCAATTTCCTGGTTCCATGTTAACTAGCACTTCCCCTAGCCTATATTCCCAACGAGACTCCCGATGCCCCGTCTCGACCTCCCCTCTGCCCAGCGCATGCATAGCTTCTCTGTTCGTTCTCTTCCATTTTCAAATACATTTTTTTGACCAACACAAACACATTCAACCCCTATTAGGCACTATAGCTTCGGAAAAGCAAATATTTTTTACAATAATAACCACATCATTCTTAACTACCACTCTCTACTCCATCCACACTTCACAACTCCAGGTGTCTTCTGCTCAAATTTAAACCTTATTTTACCATTCACATTGCTGTCGAGACTATTTTGTGATCTTATCTGAGTTACATCAGATGAGATCACGGGTCAAAAGCGGGAAATGACCTGCCTTTCTCCACCTAACTCCCCAAAACCACCCCCACCCACCACCACCACCACCCACAATTCAACTGATATCACTACCACCTAGAAGTTTTCTTGAAATATTAAACACTCGATCTTTTTTTCATTAAAAATTTTTACTCAAAATCCCCATTATTTCATTAAATTTACACAAAAACCCACATTCTCTGGACTTAAAGAGCATAACTCACCCCAAGGCTCCCATACAACTCACAATTTTCACTCAGCTCAAAAAATATCCACATATCATAACTTTACACTATAGCAACACGCTGTACAAGTCCCCCAAATTTCACAACACCCTTGTCAACACATCCCTTGTTGCAACACCTAAAGAGCACTTGACACTTTTTTTCTCGCTAATACAGAACAAGATGCATGTCAACACCACACAACCACACCAACACACACCCCACACCACACCACACACACACACACACACAGAATCACAAGACACAATCTTCCCAACAGGATATCAGACCCTGGGAAGATAAAAGGGGAGTAGAGGGGGGGAGGGGTTGCACTGTCATAAAACACCAATGGGGATTTGAGGAAATGGAAGGCATGGACTTGATTGGAAAAAGAAAACTACATTGTAGTACAATTCAGTCCGGGGGAACATAAAGTAGTCATTGGAGTGATGTAAAAACCCACCACAGAACTGCAGGAGGCCAAGAGAGGAGTACGAAAAAAAACAAACAGGGTGATGGGGGGCCCACACTGGCTGAGGTGGCAAGAAGAGCTCACTCGGCAGAGCAAAGTTACTGGTAATGGGCGATTTCAACCACAGGGGATCGACTGGGAAAACCTGGAGCCACATGGGGCCCCCGGGAAACATGGAGAGCCAAGATGATGGATGTGGTACTTGAAAACCTCATGCATCAACATGTCGGGGACACAAACCAGGAGAGAGGGAGGATGAGCCAGCAAGACTGGATTTTGTGTTCACCCTGAGCAGTTCAGACATCGAGGACATCACTTACGAGAGGCCCCTTGGAGCTAGCGATCATGTGGTTCTGAGTTTTGACTATATAGTGGGAGTACAAGTGGAAAAGGTAACAGGAACTGAAGGGGACGGGGCCAAACTATAAAAGGGGGGACTACACAGGTATGAGAAACTTCCTGAAGGAGGTTCAGTGGGACAGAGAAATGGTAGGAAAAATCAGTAAACGAAATGATGGAATATGTGACAACAAAGTGCAAGGAGGCAGAGGAAAGTTTTGTTCCCAAGGGAAACAGAAATAGTAGGAAGACCAAAACGAGTCCTTGGTTTACCCAAAAGGTGTAGGGAGGCAAAAAAACTAAGTGCAACAGGGAATGGAAAAGGTACAGGAGGCATAGGCCCAGGAAAACAAGGAGATTAGTAGAAGAGCCAAAAAACGAGTATGCACAGATAAGGAGGGGGGCCCAGCGACAGTACGAAAATGACATAGCATCGAAAGCAAATCTGACCCGAAACTGCTGTATAGCCACATTAGGAGGAAGACAACAGTCAAGGACCAGGTGATAAGGCTGAGGAAAGAAGGTGGAGAACTCACAAGAAACGATCAAGAGGTATGTGAGGAGCTCAACACGAGATTTAAGGAAGTATTTACAGTAGAGACAGGAAGGACTCTGGGGGGACAGACCAGATGGGGACACCAACAAGGAATACACCAACAAGTGTTGGACGACATACATACAGATGAGGAGGAGGTGAAGAAACTGTAAGGGACATCGATACTCAAAAAGGCATGGGACCGGACAACATCTCTCCATGGGTCCTTAGAGAGGGAGCAGATATGTTGTGCGTCCACTTACCACAATCTTCAACACACCCCTTGGAAACTGGCAACTACCTGGGGTATGGAGACGGCAAATGTAGTTCCCATTTTAAAAAAAGGAGACAGAAAAGAGGCACTAAACTATGGACCTGTGTCATTGACGTGTAAAAGTATGCAAAATTTGGAGAAGATTATCAGGAGGAGAGTGGTGGGCACCTGGAACGGAACAGGAGTACAAATGCCAACCAGCACGGATTCACGGAAGGCAAATCCTGTGTCAAAAAACCTTCTGGAGTTTTATTATAAAATAACAAAAAGTAAGACAAGAGAGAGAGGGGTGGGTTGATTGCATCTTCTTGGACTGCAAGAAGGCCTTTGACACAGTTCCTCACAAGAGATTAGTGCAGAACTAGGCATCAGGCGCTTTATAACAGGAAGGGCACTGCAATGGATCAGAGATTACCTACAGGGAGGCAACAACGAGTCATGGTACGTAATGATGTATCACAGTGGGCACCGGGGACGAGCGGGGTCCCACGGGGGTCGGTCCTAGGACCAGTGCTATTTTTGGTATATGTGAACGACATGAGGGAAGGGGTTAGACTCAGAAGTGTCCCTGTTTGCAGATGATTTTGAAGTTAATGAGGAGAATTAAATCTGATGAGGACCAGGCAGGACTTAAAAGAGACCTGGACAGACTGGACACCTGGTCCAGCAAATGGCTTCTCGAATTTATCCTGCCAAATGCAAAGTCATGAAGATAGGGAAGGGCACAGAAGACCACAGACAGAGTATAGGCTAGGTGGCCAAAGACTGCAAACCTCATCAAGGAGAAAGATCTTGGGGGGAGTATACACCGAGCATGTCTCCGGAAGCACACATCAATCAGATAACTGCTGCAGCATTATGGGCACCTGGCAAACCTGAGAACAGCATTCTGACACCTTAGTAAGGAATCATTCAAGACACTGTACACCGTGTATGTCAGGCCCATACTGGAAGTATGCAGCACCTGTTTTTGGGAAAACCCCACTTGATAAAGCACGTCAAGAAACTAGAGAAAGTACAAAGGTTTGCAACAAGGTTTAGTTCCCGAGCTAAGGGGAATGTCCTATGAAGAAAGATTAAGGGGAAAACGGCCTGACGACACTGGAGGACAGGAGGGTCAGGGGAGACATGATAACGACATATAAAATACTGGTGGAATAGACAAGGTGGACAAGGACAGGGTGTTCCAGGGAGGGGACACAGAAACAAGAGGCCACAATTTGGGAAATTGAAGACACAAATGAGTCAGAGAGATAGTAGGAGTATTTCTTCAGTCATAGAGTTGTAAGGCGTGGAAATAGCCTAGAAAATGACGTAGTGGAGGCAGGAACCATACACAGTTTTAAACGAGGTTTGATAAAGCTCATGGAGCGGGAAGAGAGAGGGTCTAGTAGCAACCGGTTGAAGAGGCGGGGCCCGGAGCTAGGACTCGACCCCTGCAACCACAAATAGGTGAGTACAAATAGGGAGTACACACACAAAACACACACACACACACAAAGAGGTATGATAAAGCTCACGGTTCAGGGAGAGTGACCTAGTAGCGACCAGTGAAGAGACGGGGCCAGGGCTAGGACTCAAACCCCCGCAACCTCAACTAGGTGAGTTAACTATGGTGGTAAAACACACAGGGAGAGGGGCACAGATGCAAAAAGGGGTAGGAAGGGAGACAAGGACAGAATCAGCAGAGGAGAGGGCAACCAGAGCAGGGCAGAAACACCAGAACCACCCTACAACCAAACCCGCAAACCCCAATCTACACTAACAGCCCCCTCCCACTACACCTAGAATCCCACAGCACAAATGCCAGGTCCCCCCCACCCTCACAGACCCGAGAACACAGTGTAGGAGAGGAAACTGAAGGTATGGTTCACTAATGCTGATGGAATAATTTAATATGAGGGAAGAATGGCACGAAAGAGTCGAAGAGGCATCACAGGACATTATAACTCTCACAGAAACAAGCTCACAAGAATGATAACAGATGCTATGTTTCCAAAACGATATCAAGAAAGATAGAGAGAACAGAGGGGGTGGAGGATTGGCACTTCTCATCAAAAACCAATGGGATTTTGATGAAATGGAGAGAGGAGATAGAGGAGAAGCAAAAAGACTACATAATAGGAAAAACTTCAGTCTGGAGGTCCCCAAGGTGGTAATTGCAGTGATTTTATAACTCACCCCAAAAAAAGTAAGAGGCCAAAGCAAAAGAGTATGATGAGACAATTGAGTGATGGTTGACACACTAGCTGAGGTGGCCAGAAGGGTTCATATGAGCAGGGAAAAGCTACTGATCAACCACAAGGAAATCTGACTAGGAGAACCTGGAGACACATGGGGCCCAGAAATGTGGAGGGCCAAGATGATGGAGGTGGCACTGGAAAACTTCAAAGCAAAAGTACGTTAAGGACACCACCATTTGAGAGAGGAGAGGATGAACCAGCAAGACTGGACCTAGTATTCACCTTGAGTAGTGCTGACATTCAGGACATCACATATGAGAGCCCTCTTGAAGCCAGCAACCATGTGGTTCTGAGCTTAGTTAAGTTGAGTTACAAGTGGAGAGGGAAGCAGGAAGGGCAGGACGAATGAAACCAAAACTACAAGAGAGGGGACTACATAGGCATGAGGAATTTTCTACACGGGGTTCAGTGGGACAGAGAGCTGGCAGGGAAGTCAGTAAACAAGATAATGGGATATATGACAACATAAGCAAGGAAGTGAGGAGAGGTTTTTACCCAAGGGCAACAAAGTACTGAGAAAGCGAGGATGAGCCCCTGGTTTACCCCAAGGTGTAAAGAGGCCAAAAAACCAAGTGTGCTAGAGAGTGGAAGAAGTTCAGAAGGCAAAGGGTCCAATAGAACAAGGAGAGAAGTCTTGAGCAAGAAAAGTATGTGCAAAGGTAAGAAGGGAGGCCCATTTAAAAATATGAAAACGACATAGCAGCAACAGCCAAATCTGACCCGAAGCTGTTATACAGCCACATCAGGAGGAAAACAACAGTCAAGGACCCGAAAATCAGGCTGAGGAAGGAAGGAGGAGAGATTACAAGAAATGTCCGCAAAGTATGTGAGGAACTAAAAAATGAGATTCAAAAAAAGTGTTCACAGAGGAGACAGAAGGGACTCCAGGAAGATGGAGAGGTGGGGTACACCACAAAGTGCTGGACACTGTTGCATCTTGGACAAAAGATTCAGTTAAAAAAATATTTTGTAGAGTGGTTCTATCTAATATTACATCGTAACGATCTCCCTTGATAGCTAGAGTGGAGATGGTTAACTTTATAATATTATTGATGCTGCAAATACCACTGTGAATATTACATTTAAATTGTTTATTTTGGTTTAAAATCTTATATTATGTGTATTTCAGGTACCAGGTTACTGCTAGTTAGGATGGTTCAGCCTTTCATTAAAATTGCCAACTTCCACTGATCACATTTCCATACCTGACCTCTGATCACTGTGGGCTACTAGAGTCAGTTGGTTCACCCCCTAGCTACCAAGCGGGTTTCCCTTTTCTTACACTCCATTGCATGGGAACACCCTTCAGGTGTGGTGGTCTCAATTATTGGATATATATATATATATATATATATATATATATATATATATATATATATAAATATATATATTAATATATATATATATATATATATATATATATATATATATATACATACATCTAGGTTTTCTCCTTTTTCTACATATTTCTTGTTCTTCTTTATTTCTTTTATTGTCCATGGGGAAGTGGAAAAGAATCTTTCCTCCGTAAGCCATGCGTTCGTATGAGGCGACTAAAATGCCGGGAGCAATGGGCAGTTCCTGGGTTTTCCCCGGAGAAGTTCCTGGGTCAACGCCCCGCGGCCGGTCTGTGACCATAACCCCTTCTCCTGTAGACCATTTACTAAAAAAAGAGAAGAAGAAAAACTTTATAAAACTTGGAGCTTGAATGTGGCGTGATGTAGTGCGGATGACAAGAAAACAGGGTGATTGCTGATGGTTAGAATGAAAAGAAATTGGTTGTCCCGGCCCTAAGCGAAACAAACCCGGAGGGGGAAGGGGGGAGTTTCGGTGTTGGGAAATAAAATGGATTAAATTGGAGTATCTGAGAGAGTTAGAGCAAAGGAAGGTAGCAGTAATGGGTTTAATGATCAGTTAAAGGAAGGGAGGAAAAATTTGAATTGAATGGAAATGCAAGAATTTGTGATTAAAGCAAAGGTTGGATGCGAGAGTGGGTCATAATAAGCGTGTATGCGCCTGGGAAAGAGGAATGCGAGGAGAGGGGAAGATTTTGGGAGATGTTAAGTGAATGTATAGGAGCCTTTGAACCAGTGAGGAGTAATTGTGGTAAAGGGACCTGATGCTAAAGTAGGAGAAACTTTTAGAGAGGGTGTTTGGGAGGTAAGTTTGGGTTGCCAGTTGTAAATGAAAAATGGAAGCCTTTGATTGAAACTTTGTATGGAAAGGGGTTTAGCATAGGTATCATTTTTAAGGAAAAAGGGTAAATTAAGTTACAAGTATGATGTAGGGCGAAAAAAACAGTAGTTTGTTGGATTAGTATTGGTAATAAAAGACCGTTGAGGAGACTTTCAGGATTTTACATGGTTTATAGAGGGGCCACGATATATCAGATCCTTTCTAGTTTAGCTACACGGAGAGTAAAAGGTGTTGGATACAAGGAGAATAGAAGCATACAGGGAAAAAGAGAGATGAGGTTTATAAACTAAAAGAGGGGGCAGTTAGGAAGATATAAACAGCTATTTGGGGGATAGATGAGCAATGAGAGCATAGGGCAATGGGTCGAAGGGGGTATAGGGTAGGTTTAAAAATGTATGTTAGAGTGTTCAGCAGAAGTTTGTGGTTACAGAAAGTGGGTGCGGAGGGGAAGAGGAGCGATTGTGAATTGAGAATGTAAAGAGAGTAGTAAGGGAGAAAAGTTAGATATGAGAAGTTTTTACAAAGTAGAAGTGATGCAAGGAGGGAAAGTATATGGAGAAAAAGAGGGGGAGGTTTAAAAGAGTGGTGAAGATGTAAATAAAGAGAGCAAATTTAGAGAGTGGGTGGATGTTATCATATAAAATTTTGTTGAAAAAAAGAAAAAAGTTTTAAAAAGTAGATTAACAGTTAAGGAAGCCTAGAGACAAATGGATTTTCAGTTTAAAATAGGAGAAGGAGTTAATTAAATGGGAGTTTGAGGGTTTTGGGAAGATGGAGGGAATATTTTGAGAATTGTAAATGTTGATGAAGATAGGAAAGCTGTGATTTGTGTATATGGAAGGAGGAATAAAACTTGTAGGGGTGAGGAAGGGGCCCGTTGGGTTTTGGGGGAAGTTCGTGAGGCAGTAGGTAAAATGAAAGGGGTAAGGCAAACTGGGATTGATGGGTTAAAGGGCAGAAATGTTTAAAGCAGGTGGGGAAATAGTTTTGAGGGTTGGTGCAATTATTTAATAAATGTATGGAAGAGGGAAGGTTTCTGGGATTGGCAGAGAGCAGCAAAGGGGACAAAAAAGAGTGCAAAAATTAAAAGGAGGATAAGTCTGTTGAGTATACCTGGTAAAGTGTTATGGTAGAGTTATTATTGAAAGAATTAAGAGTAAGACGGAGAATAGGATAGCAGATGAACAAGGAGGCTTTAGGAAAGGTAGGGGGTGTGTGGACCAGGTGTTTACAGTGAAACATATAAGTGAACAGTAATTAGATAAGGCTAAAGAGGTCTTTGTGGCATTTATGGATTTGGAAAAGGCGCATGACAAGGTGGATAGGGGGGCAATGTGGCAAATGTTGCAGGTGTATGGTGTAGGAGGTAGGTTACTGAAAGCAGTGAAGAGTTTTTACGAGGATAGTGAGGCTCAAGTTAGAGTATGTAGGAAAGAGGGAAATTAATTCCCAGTAAATTTAGGCCTTACACAAGGATGTGTGATGTCACCGTGGTTGTTTAATATATTTATAGATGGGGTTGTAAGAGAAGTAAACGCGAGGGTCTTGACAAGAGGCGTGGAGTTAAAAGATAAAGGATCACACATAAAGTGGGAGTTGTCACAGTTGCTCTTTGCTGATGACACTGTGTTCTTGGGAGATTCTGAAGAGAAGTTGCAGAGATTGGTGGATGAATTTTGTAGGGTGTGCAAGAGAAGAAAATTAAAAGTGAATACAGGAAAGAGTAAGGTTATGAGGATAACAAAAATATTAGGTGATGAAAGATTGGATATCAGATTGGAGGGAGAGAGTATGGAGGAGGTGAATGTATTCAGATATTTGAGAGTGGACGTGTCAGCGGATGGGTCTATGAAAGATGAGGTGAGTCACAGAATTGATGAGGGGAAAAGGGTGAGCAGAGCACTTAGAAGTCTGTGGAGACAAAGAACTTTGTCCTTGGAGGCAAAGAGTGGAATGTATGAGAGTATAGTTCTACCAACGCTCTTATATGGGTGTGAAGCATGGGTGATGAATGTTGCAGCGAGGAGAAGGCTGGAGGCAGTGGAGATGTCATGTCTGAGGGCAATGTGTGGTGTGAATATAATGCAGAGAATTCGTAGTTTGGAAGTTAGGAGGAGGTGCGGGATTACCAAAACTGTTGTCCAGAGGGCTGAGGAAGGGTTGTTTAGGTGGTTCGGACATGTAGAGAGAATGGAGCGAAACAGAGTGACTTCAAGAGTGTATCAGTCTGTAGTGGAAGGAAAGCGGGGTATTGGTCGGCCTAGGAAAGGTTGGAGGGAGGGGGTAAAGGAGGTTTTGTGTTCGAGGGGCTTGGACTTCCAGCAGGCATGCGTGAGTGTGTTTGATAGTAGGGAATGGAGACAAATGGTTTTTAATACTTGACGTGCTGTTGGAGTGTGAGCAAAGTAACATTTATGAAGGGGTTCAGGGAACCGGCAGGCTGGATTGAGTCCTGGAGATGGGAAGTACAGTGCCTGCACTCTGAAGGAGGGGTGTTTAATGTTGCAGTTTAAAAACTGTAGTGTAAAGCACCCTTCTGGCAAGACAGTGATGGAGTGAATGATGGTGAAAGTTTTTCTTTTTCGGGCCACCCTGCCTTGGTGGGAATCGGCCAGTGTGATAAAAAAAAAATATATAAATATATCAGTAACAACACTGCGCTAGCCAAGGATTCGAACCCATGTTCTAATGGCCTGCCTCATAGTAAGCAAGAACCACATGACGCTTTAAACCACAGGACCACCCAACCCTACAAAGAATGGCACAGCCAGCACACAGCTAGCTGTTGGGCCTCCATCGGAGGGAATATGGAGGTGTGGGAGCTTCTAAGCTAATTTCGTAATCAGACTCTGCTTAGCTCGCTTTCATAAGAGAATGAAATTATATTGAAATGATTACTTTAATTCAATGAAAGAATGATCTGGAGTTTTGGTCATCTTTAAAGACGTTGGAAAATCAA